TTACCCGGGTGTAAAATGCCCCCCCCCCCCCCCCAAACGTGATTGCTTTTGCTGAGAAATGAAGGCATCGGGAGGGGTACGGTCAAAAGCCGACTGCTTTTTCCTGTTACAGTAGACCTGTGAAATGACGCCGCGCCCCTCTCGCTGCAAGACCCCGCATTGGCATCCCCTCCCGCTTTTCTCGCTCACATGCTCCCCATTAGCAGTCGTCGGCCTTTGATCCGCCGCTGCAGTTGTTCCACGGCCATGTCGACACTAATGCCGCAAATTAGTGCGACTGTGATGACGCCGCTTCCAAAGGGGAGGCAATTGGAAGCAGATGACGCGCCCTCGAGCGCGCAGCGCCTCACACGGCGCAAAGCCGCGCTAAAAAAATGGAGGCGCGATTTCGATTGAGCGTCTGGAGTCGCCGCGCTTGGCGAGGCCGTGACGTGCTGCTGTGAACGCCTTTCCTTTCCTTTCTCTCTTTTGCAAGCAATGTTCAAGGGGACAGTCAGACGAGCATCTGCATCACCATTGAACCGGGCCTACTTCTCAAAGGAGACATTCTGGTAAGAAGAAGCCGCGGACGGAAATGCTTCAAATAACGAGCGCCATCTTGGGGGTCGAGCGCCAAATATCGATTGAAATGCTTAGCGGTGGCGATCGTCAGATGAAAAAAAATGTCGATAAGCATCGCTTCTGACACATTTGCACAAGTCAACACACCCTGGGTCACGTTCAAAATAAATGCTGCTACCATTGAGGGGCACATCGCAATGCTAAAAGCAGTTGGAAACGGACTTTCTGATCAGGGATACACTTGAAGCTGGATTTTTGGGGAAGCGGCTCCTCTCATTCTCTTTAAAATTGGCCCACGTTCCTTGACGTGCCAGAAACGGAAACGGATTTGATGACTCCAATGAGGCGGACGCGCTAGCCAGTCACCCGCCTTGCCGTCCCCTTGTCAAAAAGTTTTGCCGACGATGACCCCAAAGTGGCAATTTACGTGATTGTTTCCTGGTTTTACTCCTGCCTTGAGAGAAATCTCATCCGATGACTTCCTTCCCGCAGCTCAAGTGCTACCACAAGCGTTATCGCGGCCCGTGCCGGGACGTGATTTTCCGGGTGCAGTTCCACACCTGCGCAGTTCACGACTTGGGAATCGTCTTTGGCAAAGACGAGCTCGATGAGACGTTCAAAGGTAGGCCACACGCACCGCTCCAAACTCGGGCTTCATATTCTTGCCTTCAAAGACTTGCCGTAATGGAGACCTCAGAATGCCGTATCGTTTCCAAAATCAGCCCAAAAAATAAATAAAAATCGCATCTGACACCCGGTTGACTAATCAACACGAAATTAGGTGGACGTGTCCATCATCACGGGAAGACCAAAAAAAGTCTCAAGGGACGCATGATCAAAACTGAACAGCAAGTGAACAGTTTTGGTTTAAAGCCGCCATTTTAGGAAAGTTCCCGGACTGGTGAGCCGAAATCGGAAGCAGGTAAGATAGCCGACATGAAAAGAAAAACAAAAAAAATGCCATTGCTCATTCAGTCGCACCCTCTGGAAACTTGGAACACAATCTGATGCTTGCGGCGGGTGGCGTCAAAGTCTGGAGGATCCACACAACCAATCGGATTATTTTGGATGATTTCCTGTTTGCAGATGAGAGGTTCCCGGAATATGGCAAAGTGGAGTTTATATTTTCTTTTGGCCCAGAAAAAATGTATGGTAAGAATCAACTTTTTGACCCGTGCGACACCATTTTTTAAATTTTTTTCGAGGGAGCGGGAGATTCACATGTGTGCTCTGTGTCTTGGTACCTCTGGTCAAGGTATGGATCACCTGGAGAACGGGCCGAGCGTCTCTGTGGACTACAACACGCAAGATCCGCTGATTCGCTGGGACTCCTACGAGAACTTCAATCACAACAATGAGGACACTACAGAAGGTGAATAGCCGACAACGACACGGTCCGTCACAATGGTTTTTTTCCCCTTTCATTTTAGTCACCCAAAGAAGTAGTACAAATGTGTGGCATAGCTCAAGTTTGTTTCAGCATGGGTCCTCATAGTCCCATGCTGAAATTTTTTGTCCAACCCCCCCCCAAAAAAAAACAACGAACCAAACAAACAAACCTTTCGCTGACCTTATTTTTACCTGCAATTTGAAGGCTTTTCGTGCTTTTGAGAGACAACATCAACATGACCACCAAGTAGCATTTTTAAAAAAATTTTTTTTTTGACACGAGGAAAGCTGTGAACTACTGGAGATCACACAGATTCACCCGCATAAATGCAATTTTTATCGACTGAAATGCCCATGAGCCCTCCCATGTTATTTTTATCAGGTCGTCGAATGTCAAAGGTTGCTTGGCTATCACCGCTCAAGAAATGGCATGAGGTGGCAGTTGGAAATAGTCTTGGCTAAAATAGAATTGCTCGTCTCTCATCCTCTTCCCGAGAGGGTTACTATGTGGTAATGACGCTCGAGGCTTCGACTGTTTCGCACCGGTCCTGGAACTGGGGTCAATTTGCAACAAATTGTTATTTGGCAAATAGCTCGGGACGCACAAAAAGGTCCCGAGGACCCGTGACACAACCTGAACACAAATGTGTTGTGTTAGGATGTTCTTGCCGTGCCTGGGTGGGTTTTCTTCGGGTGCTCCGGTTTCCTCCCGCATTCCCCTAAAAAAACATGGTTGATTGCAGATTCGAAATGGTCTCTCTCTATGATTGCGAGAGCAAATGGTTGTTGTTGTTCAGGGTGTCCCCCGCTTACTGCCCGAAGACAGCTGCGATAGCCTCCAGTACGCCCCGCGACTCTTGTGAGGAGAAGCCGATGAGAAAATGGATGGATGGCTTTGGCGTGATTTGATGCCTGCAAATGTATTTTATCACTGCTCAGTTTTTAATAATTGTAAGATGCTTGAGTCACGCTAGACAATCTATCACGTCTCCCTCGTTTACGGAGGCAATGCCAACTTTTGTCTGTTACAAATTCCACACGACATTCTGTTTTCCAGTCCATCCTTTGAAAGCAATGTTATAAAAAGGACGAGCTGGTCCAAGTCAAGACAAAGTTACAGTGTTAGCGAGGTGAAGATTAAGTTAGCACAGTTATTGTTTACCCGGCAGTCCGGGAAGAATTTGCTGTGTCAAGAAGCCTTCGATCCTTTTCATGTGAGTCTCGCAATCTCCTTGGGGGCAGGAATCCTGTGAATGTTTGTTTCCTTTTTGATCCACAACACGCCCTTTCCCACGCTTTTATCTTATCCAGTAAAAGGGCCAGAACTGAGCCTGCCGAAGACGTTTGACCTCTTTGCCTCTCCTACAAGCAGATACGTGACCGTCCAATCCGACTGTGGCCTCTCAGGGTACATTAGCTCAGAAGAGACGCGACCTTCGGGGACAGGGAAAGGCCTTTGTCATTGACCCTGGCAATTTAGCCATTTTCGGTATCTGTTGCAGCGGGGGAAACAGGCAACGTGCGAAGCCGCTGTCTTTCGGGTACATGAGTGCGGAGTGGATCACGGCTCGTGGGACACAAACGGGCTTCTGTCCGTCCGCAGTTTGGAAGCTGGCCGCAGAGAGAAAAACAAGGACGTGAACCCACCTCTGCCCCGGCCTTTCCAGCTCATTTTGAAAGGAAAAGCCCCTTTTGTTCCTTGCGCTGTCTGCCTTGACTTGATCAAGGTGAGCTTTTTGGGCTGAGGCGTCACACTGACTCGCTCAGTGTGCCGAAGGGCAATGGGGTTGTCATGCCAACCGGTCTGGCTCCTCGGTGTCAGGTCATCGTTGAGGCCACGACGTTCCTTTGGCACAAAAATGCTCTGTGGGTTGTTCAATACGGCTCTTCCTGTATTCCCAGCGTGGCGTTGCCCCGGTGAAACGTCTGGCCCTTTGTGTTGGCAACAAGCCTCTGCGCGGTCAGATTTTTCAAGAGATTTAGTCAGCTTTGACTCCAAACATGTCGTCGGTCTGTTTGCATGTCTGCCAAGACTGTAAATTAAAGGCGTTTGAGGCCCGATTTGACACAGCGGGGCACTCGTTCTTCCTGTTGCGATGTTTTGCACTCGAGCAGCACTGCTGCTGCAACAGGCGCGCCTGCTCTGTGACATTTAGAGTGTACGTCTTGCAATGAAAAGCAACGTTCAGTTGGAGATCCTTTTTGAACAGCGTGTACGAGTTTCCAGTTGATGTACCAAGATAAGCATTTGCAATATTGTCGAGGGTTTGGTGTTGGGAATGCATGAGTGGTCTGCGGCTTCCCCGCGGACGCAGCTGCGGGCCAGACGCTCTCCACCTCTGTCGCTTTTGCCTGGCGGTGTTGTTTATCTTGACTCGGCCAATCTGTCTGAAAATGGCAAAGCAAAGCCAAGAAGATCTTTGCGCTTTGAGAGGGAGAACCACAGACAGCACCGTACTGCTGCACAGATATCTACGCAGGGCTAATCCACACAACATCGCACTCATCGGACAGCAGAGTTTGCATGTTTGGGTCGCTGAGGACTTGACGCGCTCCAGAATGTGGGAAAGTGAATGCTTCTTCGTCTATTTGGGCCCCGTGGTTGGCTGGCGACCAGCCCGAGGGTGGACTCGGCCTCACGCATACGGTTGACCAGGACAGGCCCTCCAGAGACCGGAAAGTAGCACTAAAGTGGCGGGATGGATTTACGGACGGACGTATCGAAGATATAACCGTTGTTCAGGTCTTCAGTGTTGGTTCTTGATCAACACGAACTTGTCAAAGCCAAACCGTTTTGTAAAACTCTCTCTCTCGACTGAAGCTTTGACTCGCCTCTTGCAGCCAACTCTTGGGAGCCGCGCCCCCCATCCACGACTCCTGCCGCTTTTTCAAGAGACTCAGCACAGCGAAATCTGTATTTTTGCCTGCATCCATATTCGACATTTCAGAGTTTCAGATTCCTGTTCTTTCCAGACAGAGGATGCTAATTTTGAAACCTCCAGCCCGTAGCGAAGCAACGACGCCTGTTTTTGCTCAATGCGGATCGGCATTTTTCTTTCTTCTCCTGCCCACTTTCCACGTAACCTTCATTCCGCTGGCGTGGAAAGCCAAGTGCGCTCGGAGACATTGATTGACTGATGAATCTTGATGCATATTTAATAAGCTGAAAGAGCCCATTGATTTCAGTGTACTTTACTCACATTTGCCAAGGACCTTATGTTGGTTGCCGTTGGTTTTTTGGTCCACCAAGCCACGATGGATTTCAATGCACTTAACCTCCTTTTTTTCGAGCATCTTGTTGATTTTCCCACTTGAGTAGTAGGAAGTCGCCAAAGTGTATGCATGCAATGAAACTGTCCAATCCCCAGGACATGTCCCTCTTGGAGCTTCCCATTTTTTTATTCCCACATTCGAATGTTCCAGATATACCCTTGTCAATCTCAAAGAGCTCTCGCGCTTGCAAACAATAGCCACTCTCACTGTCACACTTGCGCTTGGTGGGCGAGGCGCCAACTGTCGAAATCGCACACGGAGCCTTCCTCAAGATGTTCACAGCGTGTTTGCCAACATAAGGCACGCGCTATTTCCGCCGCTAAAGGGGTTCTGCCGCCACGGAGGTCACGGTTCATGGTTCAGAGATTAGAGGTCACACAGTTGCACCATCTGACCCCCCCCTCCCCCCCAACAACCTTAAAATATCCGACGACGCGCCACACCCTGGGCGCTTTGTGTGTGGTGTTGGCCTTTCATCCTTAGTTGCTTTTGTGCGAGCGTTTTATCCGAAGCCGTCTAGACGAGAGGATGTGGGAGCTTCCAGGTGGGATGGCTCATCGCGCATCTGCAGATATTCACGAGATTTGTTTTTCTTTTTTGGAGGTGGATGTTTCTTTGCATGTCTGAGAAAGAACATTCATCACCGAGTGGTCAGTCCAGCCAGAACCGCCACCACCGTCCCCCCCTCTCCGCTCGTAGCGTAATTGATTAAAGCCACAAGGTCAGAATGGGAGACATTCTCTCCTTAAATAGTGGAACTTGCATTGTGCAGAGAAAAGAAATGTACCCCACTGGAGAGTATGAAAAGCACTCTTAACACATCCCACAATCGCACGCCTGTGATGTGTGGGTCTTGGCTTCACTGCCTCCAACATGTAAACAGTAACCAAGAACATAAATAGTCTGGGCTGTGAGCGGAGAGGCACCCATTAGATTTCCTCAAGTGCAAATGGGGGAAAGGGCGGGGGGTGAAAAGTAAAGACATTTGCCCCATCACCAGGAATGACTCAACTTGGGTCTTTTGCTTGAACTTTTTCTGGGGCTTTTCTCTCTTTCCTGTTGTCCCTCATTATGAAAGCGAATCCCCCCCACGCCCCCACCTCCCTCGCAGAGGCGACATTATCTTGGACAATGACAAATGCTCAATTGTTCCATCTTGTGTTGGTCCACACACACGCAAAGTTCCTGCATGCTGATGTGCACAAGACGTGGGCGACGCGAATGCGCGATCAGCTCAAACATTGAACAGTGGGGCCCGCGCTTCTTGACAGAGCTGCCGTCCTATGGCGGTGACATAACCCCGCCGTATCCCTGAAGTGGGGACACCTCGTTTGATCTACGTTAGTGCATTATTGCCAAATTATGCATGAAAAACACGTCATAAGGAGATGAATCCATGATTGTGTCGGGCCATTTTGGATAAGCAAACATCCAGGGCCAAACCAACCCAAGAGCATTATTTCTGTTCCTGAGAATTCACACAACGGGTGGGAGGGTTCGTTTTATGTCCGTGGGTCTCGGGGAGTACGGATGGCGTTCTCCCCGCTCTGGTTGCCGCGATACGAGCGGGCTCCATTGAGCGCGCTTAAAAGCCAAGGGCTCGCTTGCGCAAATGTCACTGCCGACGTTAACGTGCGGTACGCGCGGAGTCGTTCTGATCAATTCTGTCGAGTAGCTTTGCGAGACCCGGAGGGGCTTCTGTCCTTCTCTCCAGCTGTCGACACACGTTGCTTTCTCCGCGCCACCCTCGCGCCACCCTTGCGCTTCCAGAGTAAAAAAGCTGTCAGGGACCTCCCACTTAAGCGGCGCCGCAGGTCAATGAGCAGGGAGTGAGAGTGCGGCGCTCTTCATCCACACAGACAGACGAGGGGGGAGCGGAACGGAGGGACGGGGACGCGGGGAGATCGCAGCCAACTCCCAAAGACCGTCAAAGCGCCCTTCCCTGACTGGGGTTTCCACCGTCGGACTTTTCCCTCTTGAGTTTGGGACTGCTTCCGCAGGTAGGGGCACCCGCTTCCATTGAGGCATCGTGTCATTCCGAGGACTTTGCTGTCGAAAATCAGACGAATGGTCTCAATCATTTGAACTCTCGGAGTCATAATTGAGCTCCTGAATTAGAGACAGTGAATTGCTTCAGTACTTCTCCGTTGATCGGAGTGAGTGATTTTGAAATGCATTAGCGATACGGCTTCAGTCTTGACACGATCTATCGACTCACTTCGTTCTTCATGAATTTTATAGATGATAGATCCCCCCTAACTTCACTCGCAGACTTCCGTTTGGTGTGGCTAGAACAGAACTAATGTGTACTTTTTAAAACCGTGTCATTCCCAGTTTATATGGCAGAGAGTCTTGTGTTTCCAGAAGCCAGAGGGCAGTGTCTTATACTTTCCTACAACGTTTACTGCAAAATTGGAAGACTTGTTTGCGAGGAACCTGTGCAGACGCACGCATGTTTGTCAAATGTTGACTATGCGCCTGTCGATTCTCATGCACAACGCAGAAATGGGTAATTATTGTCCCGGCTGTAACTCGTTTACCTTTGTCATTTGTCAGTATTCCCGGGTTCGCTTCTGTTGCAACACCAAAACGGCCTTTTTGCTCGTCAGGAATATTTTAGGAATCCCGAAATGATATTCTTGAATAATTTGCACACAATGAAAGCCAGCAAGTGTTCTGTTGACAAGTGTCCATTTTTCTTTGCTGGCTTCATTGAACACAAACGGCCTCACGCAAGCCCTCCATTCGGCGATGTGTATCAGATGCCTCTTTTCTGCACTCCCTTGCTCTAAACGTGACGCAAAGCAACAAGCGATGCGCGCCCTGGCATTGTTCAGGTGGCACCGATTTTTCTCACTGACTCGATGAAGCACAAGGCGAGCGACTGTGATGAAATGTTTTGTCCACGGCGCATGGAGCAGAGCCTGCTCACTTCCTGAAGTCAGCAGAGTAAGTGCACACGAAGCAGGATTTGACTTCAGTTGTTCTGGCAATGCCCTCACACTTTCCCTACTTACAGTGTGGACCGTTGCACAGGAGTTGTTGTGGAAAAGTTTGAGAACCTCAGCGCCGTCTGTCTTTGGCCGTGACCGTGGTCTCTTGTTCTCGGTGTTGCAGAAGTCATCCACACTCAAGGACCCTTGGATGGGAGTCTCTATGCCAAAGTGCGTAAAAAAGACTCTGTTGACGGGACCGTCACGGTCAACGGGCTCCCACCCGCTGCTGCCGAACACACCCTGCCCGCCGTCGACCACGCCTTGTCAGTGAGCAGCGACTCGGGAAACTCGACGGCCTCAATTAAAACGGACAGGACGGACGAAGCGGCAGCCGTCCATCCGGCCGTGAACCTGCCGAGTGTTCCCACCGTTGAGGAGGTACCTCAAGTCCATCACCACGACCAGCAAGCCATCAGCCCCCGGGAGAAGCAGGAGCTGGAACAGCTCCTGGGTGGGCTGGAGGGGCCCATGCATCGTCAGACCTACCGCGCCTCGCCGACGTCCGCCGTCGGCGGGATATTCCAGCGCGTGCCGGCTCAGGTGCACGTGAACGGTCACGGCGCCGTGGATCGGGAAACGGATATTTTAGATGATGAACTACCGAGCAGTCAAAAGGCAAACAGCGTGGACAGTCTGGGGACGTTCTCCTCCACCGATGGCCGAGCCACGCCGGCGGATCTCTACTTCCAGGCGGAGTCGGTCATTAACGGCCAGGACCACGTGGCGTACCTGGAGCGCAGTGTTGCAGAAAGCCCGGTAGAAACGGCGCAGTCGCAAATTTGCTTCACAGACCAACCCGTTACGCTGACTCGAAATGATTCTTTGCCAGCCTCCAATTATATGACAACTCCGAATCTGTCCCGTTCACTGTCACTCGGTTCGGATTCGCGGTCAATGCCCCCAGCTCCCACCCGGACCACCAGTAGCAGGGATGCCGTCCAACGCGGTCTCAATATTTGGCAACGGTTCGGCGTGCCTGAGGAGCCTGTGACCGAAGGGCTCACTTTCGGGACGCCGCCTTCTGCGGTTCACCAGAGCCTTCCGCAGTTCCCTCACGGCCACAGCGCTTCACAGGAAGAGATTGAGCAATCCATAGAGACGCTCAATCTTCTCATGCTGGACTTGGAGCCCAGCCGTTCTTTCATCCCCAAGTCGCAAAGTGCTCCTCTGAGGGACACCGGTGTCGTCACAACGCAGCCCTCCTTCTCTCTGAGCCAGAGCCGAGCCATCTATGAGGTGGATACTCCTCCGATGTCCAGCCAGCAGTCCCCCGTGAAACCCAGCACGCCGGAGCCCGCCCCTGTGTTTGGATCGCAGGCCACTGGAACCGGTCCGTCTTCATCGGCTTCTGCAACTGGTCAGCTCCGGCCCCAGGCAGTCGACACCTTCCGGCCGAGCGCTTTGTCTCAGTCCACTGAGGTCCTACAACACCAAAGACGCGCCGATGCTGGAGCAACTTTACCCGCTTCAGGGGACGCCGACCCCGATGACGTCTTCAACGTTGAAGGGCTGGTGGCTCAACGAGTTGCAGGTAAGAACACCAATGAGTATTTTTTCCGGCGCCTCAAGTGTCGTGGAGCGTTTCACCTCCAGTAGCTGACCGAGCCGTTCAAGATCGACCCGGAGACCGGCAGCGAACAGACAGCCAAGCAAAATGTTGTTGCTGCTCGTGTATATTTGCCGGGAAACCGATAGTGCACTTCCAAATCACCGTCCACTTCACTTTGCCCATTTTCTGAGGACTTCGTCAGCATTTTCTTTTTCATCGTCTGTTGCCTTTTCATTCATGTGTTTGCCCAGAGTACTCGGCGCGCGCCCAACGGGTCACCTGTGGAATTTCCTCCACTTGCTCTCACTCGATTTTGGGTTTGTTCTCTCGTCCTGTTGCGACAACTTTCTGGAGTGTTGCTGCAAGCTTTCGTCTGTCCATCTGCGTTTGAGTGTCGTTTGTTTGTTTGGAATTGCTTTTGTCTCCCAAGTCTAACATCTGAATGTGCGACGCACTCGACGAAAATCCCCTACAACTCAATTCAAGTGTATTTCGAGAGCACTTCAAAACAGGCACCGCCGTCAACAAAGTGCTGTACATGGAGCAAAAAGAATAGAATCCATTCAACAACAAACAATAGAACAATAAATTCAAGAACCAAGACAGGAGAAAGAACAGAAAAGGTCAAACTAAAAATCGAGTCTCATGCCGAGTCAAAAGCTAAAGAAGAAAACTAAAACTGAGTTTGAAGACGAGTTTGAAAGATGGGCAGGGAGGGGGCTCGCGCAACGTTCAGCGGGAGGTCATTCCGGCAAAGGCTCCGTCCCCTCGCTGAGTTCGCGGGACCTCTAAGAGTGTCTGGTCCGCAGACCTGAGGCACCGGGCGAGTTCGTCGAAGCTCCGAGAGGTCAGGTGGGCCATTTCAAGATTGGAAAACAAACCATAGGATCTTCTAAAGGACTCTAAAATGTAGTCAGCGAAGGCGTGCCAGAGTAGGAGTGATGTGCTCCTTCTTACTAGTACCACTCAACAGGCGAGCGGCAGCATTCTGGACCATCTGGAGACTCTTCATGGAGGATTGGCTGAATTCATTGAGATTATTGCAAGCTCATCTCATGTGCATGTGCATGTGATACTGAATAGATCACATGCACACACACCTTATAAAATGTAACACGTTGATTTTTCACCATTTACAAAATCAAAACTCTTGGCTGGTTTTCACCCACTGAGATTTTAGCCAAAGAACCAAACGTCACAGTCAGCTTTGGCGTGCCGCAGTTTGTAACTGAAGCTAACACTCTAACAGCAGCACAGCGTCCGAGTGGTTCGTATGTCGGAGGTTCCAATGTGGACTTTGCATGTTCACCCCGTGCTTGTGTGGCTTTTCCCCAGCCTCTCGGGCGACTTGCTCCCTTCTGACAACGTGCGTAGTAGGTTCATTGATGACTGGATGGATTTACTTGACCATAACGACTTTGTATGCGTGTTGGTGTCTTGACCGAAGCAATGGCGGACACGAGTGTTGGCCACTCGTGTGTCTGAGCAGCCTTAAGAAAGCAGGGAGCACGCCCAAGAATTAACAACCCTCGGTGCATTTATGAGGTCCGAAGTGGGCCGTTGCTGAATTGGATCTCACTCGAGGTGCCTCCCTCCCCAGGTGTCCACTCCCGTGCGACGTCTCCGGACGAGCCCACAGTTGTTCCTCCCCATCGCATCGCGAGCGAGGGCCCAGAAGACGCCACCTCCTCCGACGTCCCAGTCCGTTCTCCTGTTCGTTGCGTTTCTCCCGAGTTCGTCAACGCCATCGCCATGAACCCCGGCGGACGGCCGAAGGAGGTACAAACTCCGGCAGTGTTTGTTGACATCCATGAGCTGCGCTCTTCATGGATGGCCCGAGCACCAACCGGGGAAAAGGCCTTCTCGGAGTCGTTGAGTTGATCATTCTCAGTCACTTTTCTGGTGGCCTCAGCGTGCCCCAGAAGGCCCCAGTTTTTGCAATTTGAGCAAATTACTCCCAATGAACCCTGATTGTAAGTGGACATATTGTTGACGAGGCGGATGAAAGACAGCAAATTGCAAGGACTTTTTGTCTCCGTCTTTGAGTATCATTTGGAGGTTTTGCGATGATCAAGTCGGTTCATCGTTGCTTGATTTCTATTTCCTGAGTCCGTTTTTCTGTCTCATTGTTTGGCTCCTCAGAGACACATGCACAGCTACCGAGAAGCCTTCGAGGAGATGGAGGGTGGGCCCAGTAGCCCGACCCCCACAGTTGGTGGTGAGGCGCTTCCCGCGAGCCCTGCCTTCCCCACCTCGGCGCAAACCCCTTACTTCAACCTGTGTAAGTCTGCCCTCTGGCTGCCGCCGTGGAGCTCGGGCACCGCTCGTCTTATTTCGGTCGGCGTGTCAAGTAACAGCAGTACAATACGTCACTCAAAAAACGCTTTTCCTTGGAATGTTGCTATTTTTGGGTTTGTTTGTTTTTTTGTGGCTTACTTTGATCAATCCGCAGCATAAGCCGATGACCTGTTCTTTCTTGAAATGGGCGTAACATTATCAAGATTTTGACTGGTTGATGCAAATATGAACGATGAACAGTCTTGCTGTAAATAGCAAAACTTAAGCAGCGCACGTCCCATCAGATGGTTCGGTCAATGCATTTAAGCGCATTGCCGAGTGTCCGCTTAGACCGGTGCCGACACCGGTGGCTGCCAACTTCATACTGATAGAATCGGCAAATTAAGCTCCCGGAAATCGAGACGTTGTGCC